CATTAAATGCCTTTCCATCCTATAATTACTTCTCAGTAGAGTAGAGTAGAGTCCACTGGTCTGAGTGGGCTTCAAACTGCAAACCCACTTACAGGGGACTCGCAGGAAATGATGCGTGGATGTGCTGGACAGTATGCGGACAACAGAAGTTTTATGCATAAATTTACGTAATGTGACATTTTCACTGAATTTGTTTGGCTGCACTGTAAACAGATACTTCAGGTGCTCCTCTTCTTTTTCATCTCAGACTGAGAAGCTCAGGGTTAATTTTAAAATGACTTTATTGGAAGATCAGAATATACAGTAGAAAATTCAAATAAGTGGCTTAAGAATATTAAATATTAAAGGAAAAAGAAAAAAAAATAATACTTAAGATATATATTATTTTCATATAAACTCATGTTATTTAAAACAAACAAACACACAAAAAAGACCATCCCTGTCTAGAAAAATGGAGTTGAATGGACATCATAATGTTATGTAAGTTTGCATTTTAGGGCTGTATTTTACACATTTGTGTTACTATGAATGTTAATGTGGTTTAGAATGAAGCTGTCTTAGTCCTGGAACAGAGCCTGGGCCTGTCAGAATATGTTGCCCCTCAACAACTTGTTCTCTCTTTCTCCCCTTCTTTCTCCATCCATTCAATCAGTCAGCTGTCAGATATACAGTCAGCTGTTCTGTCAGACCCCTCAGCTCTGTTGGCACTTTGTGTTATTGAGATCGATTTGAGCACAGTTCCTGCGCAGAGGGCCAAATACACCAATACCTCACATGGTCAATCAATAAATATCAGCATTCTAACACCTGGATACATACAGCATGTACACATGCAGAGCACTGCATCACACAAATCACTGTACAATGTATATTTATGTTAAGCAGCAATCCAGTTTTAACTCTGTCCGCAGACACTGGTCTGTGTGTCACAATCCGTTTTGACTGGTTTATTATCTGCTTCAAGCCAGAGTCCACTTCTTTATCCACTGTAACTGAAAAAGACCTGTTCATACCTTTTATAAATGTTGCATATAGTAACAGTCCCACTCTATAGTCTGTGGTAAACGTGAAAGATAAAACCTTACAGGAAAAGTTAGAAGAAGGACAGAAATGCAGTTTTGTGCATTTTCATGTGATTTTTTGTTTTCTGAGCTTTAGTGCGATTCACACATCTGATTTAGACATTTGCACTATTATAAATCTTTACTGCTTCTTGTATGTGCTGGAAATTATTAAGGTACATAATCCTGTAGATAATGTAAAAAATTATTGGTAATTCATTTATCAAAGTAAAAAAAAAATCCATATTTTCATTAGTGTGAAGTTAATAGTGAGGGACATTCATGTTTTATCATGATCAGGCTATTTCTTATGCATCTACATCATTCAACAAATACCTGTTCTTCCTCCCTCATATTCATAATCCTTGGAAAGAATGAGAGATGTTTTTAAAACAGGACATTATGAAAACAAAGAGGTGCAGTACTTGTTTTCTTGTGGATCCAGATTTTCCTTTTAAAGAGACTTTACCCTGGGACGTTGCTCTGAATGTAACATACTTGCAGAACATGAATAATGATAGCATACTATGCAGAAATACAAAGTGTTAAAGGTCCAGTGTGTAAGATATAGGAGGACATATTGGCAGAAATGAAATATAATAATAACCACTATGTGCTCATCAGTGTATAATCACCTGAAACTAAAAATTATTGTATTTTCATAACCTTAGAATGAGCTGTTAATACCTACAGTTCATACAGAGCAGGTCCTCCCCCATAGAGTTTGCCATGTTGTTTCTACAGTAGCCCAGAAAGAACAAATAAAACACTGGTTCTAGATAGGGAAGTTCACGTTGTCAGGTTTTTGGGTTTTCTCATAAATTTTTGAATCTGCCACCAGAGTCCTACACTAATCTCTATAAACAGATATTTGCATATGTATGCAGAATTTGTAGGCAACAGTACAAGGTTTGGTATCTGGTATTCTGGTTTATATTTGCAGTCTGTTTGTAGTCTGAGTAGTATTGACCAATCATATTTGTGGGGACTTTGGTTGTTTGCAGGTAAACAGTCCGTACAGAGAGAAAAAGCATTAGCTGAAATGCAGTCTTGGAACCCAGAGACTATGGTCTCATGATGGTTAGGCTTTTGTTTTGTAGCATTTTTTCTTATTTATCTTCATTCATATGCAAATATCTATTTATAAAGATTAGCTGAATCTTGTCTGGAGTTGTCTCAAGTTGCTAATCGAACTGTAAACCCAGATATCTGCTTATATCCCTAAAGATTGGCAGTTGCCCCCAGAGGCTTTATCTTCATCAGATTAAAGGCAGTGGTTTTCAACATTGACGATTCATCTAAAATATCAGGATCAGTGATTAAAAAAGAAAAAGTGTATTTTTGATAAGGTGACATGTAAAACAGCCAAAACAATGTCTGTGATGAGCTTTGACCCCAGCGTAAAAATGACAAGTTTTAGTGTTACAGAGAGTCCTGTGCTGGACTTTTTGTTGGCCGTTATCAGTAAGTTTGTCAAGTCTCTGCTGGTTGCCTAGCAATCTAACAGTGACAACATGGCTTGCAGCTTTTACAGAAAGAAAATAAGTAAACATATTTTCAGAAATGTGTCCAAAACTTGATTATAAATTCAGATTTATACTATAAACATACTGAATCTAAAAGAAGAGTTACAAATGGAATCTCTGAGCAGACGGCAGATTCAGACAGAGATAAACGGACTTGATGAGTGTGGTGTTCAGTGGCAGATCTGTGCTCTCCCACTGAGTCCCACCCCCCTCTCATAAACCGAGAACACAGCAGGCTCAGGCACAGATGTTTTCTCGTTTGCAGCTTGTTTGGAGTGGTAAAGGTCCTGTGGTGAGAGCGCTCGTCAATACGTCTGGTGCTCTTCAAACATGGCCCATTGTCTGAACCCCGGATAATACAAGAAAAGGACTCGTATTATCCCCTTGTGCCGCCTCCCACTGGGTCATTTTTACAAGTAACCGTATATGACGCCCCTGTGATTTTCCCCATAGTGCCTGTCAGGCTAGCTGGCTAGCAGCTGCCTGCTGGACTGAGTTTGAATTCAAATAACTAATGTCCTGCCAAGGCCATACATCTCCTCAAAGTCAGTGAGCAGTTGGCTACATGCTGTGATGGATATTGATGGAGGTGCTGCTCACCAGGCAGCACAGCAGGAACGTCTGCTCTGTGTTCAATGTGTGTAAAGGAAACGGTGAAATGTTTTAAATGTGATAGATGTTTATGCATAAAACATCCAGAGTGCTCACTAAGCACTAAAACACATAGATACACATACTTTCATCTTACCTTGGTTGATTACTGGTCACATATTGCTGCAATACCTCTGTAGAGTGGTTTATCTGAACTTAATGTTATGTTGGAACATGGGGGGAACTGTTGGCTTAAAAAATACACCTTACAACAACACCAAAGCTGATGCTTAACTTCGATGTAGGTAAAATCAAGTCTGAAACATACCTGCTTGTCAGTTCACAGTAGAGGTGGGGATCATATATTGCAATTTATTACCTTTTTCAACTGCAAATTATGTCCTCAAAGGAAAACTTTGTCACCAAGTTTTCAGTCTACTCATCTCACTTAAGTCATTTTTATTGCAGCAAAATGTATCTAGTGGACTGAAAAAGCAACTGTTTTTATTATTCTAGCAGGCTACCAAGAGTTTAATTTGTATTTGCAAGGTTAATAATTCATATAATAAAAACAATGATTCTTGGCATCTGTGTATTGATACAATATTGCCACACTAAGAATTGCCATACTATGCTTTATCGATTTTTTTCCCACCCCTAGTTCACAGTGACAGCCCATCCACCTGTCATTTATGCTTTTTGATTTTGCACTTTGAAATACCTTATCTTAGAAATCTTGTATTTTTTTAAGGTCAGTCTGCCCACTTTCACATGTCACTGCACTCCATACTGGTCATGAAGCTATCCCTTTCTAGGTTTGGCTTAACTTTAAAATACCTTTCTACACAGAATGAGGACCTTGGATTTCAGAGTTCCAGTCAGACTTGAGTTGCAAATTTGAGGACCTGAGACTAGCTTGACTAACTAACTTTGGCAAAAGATTCGACTTGAAACTTGGCTTGACTTTTTTTTTTTTTTTAAATATCTGCATTTTTCTATATCTTGACAAATTACATCTTGTTATTGAAACACAATTGGGTGATTTCTTGTGCAATGTGTGCCAACCTGGCAACCTAATAGGACACAACAGAGCAGCAGAGGCCAATGCACCAGGCAGCTATCATCGAGGGGGTTAATCCAATAATAATAACATTTGGACTGTGTTGTCAGTGACAGTAGTAAGAAGAGAACAGTGGTATGCAAATTCTGCAGCTCAAAACCAGTGACACGACCACCACAACATCCAACTTCATATACAAAACACACAAAGAAAGGTACATGAATGTGTCTTTTTAGCTAACGTATTAGCTTATTTACATTAGCAATAAATTGACTTGACTTTGCCCATGTCAAAATGGCTCCCACTGTAGAATCTTTTAAGTCCCACCTCAAGACCCACTTGTTTTCCTTGGCTTTTGATTCTGGTTGACGAGTAGACCAACCTGTCTCTGTGTCTTTTATCCCTTGAGCTTGCAGTACTGTCTGTATCACTTCTGTATTTATGACCTGTATATTTCATATGTGTATTTCTGTACAGTCCTATGTGGATATTCTGTATATTCTTATGTGAATTTCTGTTTATTTCTCTATATGCTTATGTGTAGCTTGAGCAGCACTTTGGTAACTTTGTGTTTTTGAAAAGTGCTATATAAATAAAATGGACTGGACTGACAGATAATTAATGTATTAGAATGGTATACTGTTACAGTAGAAACAGAAATGAATGGGCACACAAAGGCTGACAAAGAACATTTGACACAACATTAATTCAGCTGGTTTAATGAAGTAAAGAAACCATTCTGGTGTTGCTTTTGTCCTGTAGAGAGTCAGAGTGTGGAGGAGTGTGGGGAGAGGCTGAAGAGGATCCTGGAGTCTCCCAGCATCCCTCAGGCCAACCACCAGCTCCTGGTCCACCTCAGCAGACACTTGGCCCGGGTCAGCCAGCACAGCCAGGCCAGCCCCCGGGTGCTGGGACAGGCCTTTGCCGAGGCCATCTTCAAGCACTCTCCTCTCAGGTACACAGCTTTCCCCTTCATCTACTCCCTCAGTCATTTACACATGAACTTGTTGCAGTTTGTCAACGTGTTTGTTCATACATGTATAGTTGAGGTTTATATCACAGCCATAAAAGATACACACTTCAGATTGGCGTTGAAATCCTCTGTCAGTACAGCGAAAACATAGTTTTAGCTCTTTAACCTTCAGTCTTAATCAGTGCTCAAGGTAGTCAAAATGCAGGTAACCATAGCAACAGTGATAAATCTTCAGGCTCAATTAGCAGGTTACTGACTGGTGAAACTAACCTGACCATGTGTCACAGTGACTACAAAAACACTCTAATATGCCCCTTTTTTTTTAACTTTGTCATGAAGTCATGGTGTAAAAGACATATCACATTTACAGATGTTCACGTATAGAAAACAGTGCAATCCATGAGGAGGCTCCAATTCACCTTGAAGCATTTTTTTCCCTCCACGCTGTACATTATTTCCTTTTATGAGGACTTTATGTTGTGTGTCATTGCTTACTTTATGGCCTCCTTATGCAGTCAAATTTAAGTCAGGTGTATGTGTGTGGTTGTTAATCACACTATCAGTCCCTGAGGGACAGGGGAACAATGGCGCTCCCCTCAAGTAGGTAGAGGGGAAAATGGAAAAAACCTTGACTAACAGAAGAGGTGAATTCGTTTCCTGTGAACCGCTAGTTGTGGAAGTACTTTCACCCCACCCCACCCCACTGTAACTCCCCATTTCAAGGTTTCCTTTTCAATCCTAAATGTTCCGCATTATAGACACAGGTAAGCAGTGCAGCAGTATTACCATTAGAGAGGTTTAGTATCATGCAAATGGTAGAAAAAAGGAAATCATGATTTTTAAAGGTCAAGTGTGTAGGATTAAGGGGGATAAATGGGCATAAATAGAATATAATATAATAAGTATATTTTCGTTAGTGTATAATCACCTGAAAATCAGAATAATTGTCATTACCTTAGAATGAACCATTTATATCCACACAGGAAGCAGGTCTTTGTCTGCAGAGATGGCTATGTTTAACCGCCACATTTCTACAGTACCCTCGAATGGACAAACAGTACACTAGCTCTAGACAGGAGCATTCACAAATTCACATCGGCCTCCTTAGCAGCCCAGCAACAAAAGTGTCATGAAAACCAGACTCGTTTGTGACCTCTGTGGATAATTCAGCTCTTTGTAAAAGCCCCCTGAACGTCTAGATCTTAAGTTATCAGAGAAAAAAGGTGAGCACATTACCAGATACTAGGCTGGTGGCCTGTCTCTGACCTGCCAAACAGCATTGGAAAAACACTGATATGTAATGTAAAGCTGTGAACTATTTTTTACCTGTTTACATCAAAGGGTTCATGTATTCTGGAGAGAAGGAGACCTCTGTGGATAATTCGGCTTGTGGTCAAAAACGTTCTGAATGTCTGGGCCAGAAATAAAGTTAGCACAAGTTATCAGAGAAAATAGCTGAGCATACATTAGCAGGTGCTAGGCTAGTCGTCCGTCTCTGACATGCCAAATAGCATCAAAGAAGCACTGATTTCAACATGAAACTGCTTTATTTAGTATATTTTACAAGTTTTAATCAGCTAGTTGGTTTGTTTTGGAGAGACAGGAACCTCTGTAGATAATTCAGCTCCCAGTAGAAACCTCCTGAACAATGAATACTGAAGGAATTCACTGTTGAGTATCTTTTTAATCTTAGAAACGGTTCCTTTTAGCTAAAATAGCATTAAAGCAGGCAAAGCTAATTTTACATAAAAAGTCTAATTATGTGTTAAATTATCATTTTGAAAATTGTATATGTTGTATGTTTAAAGAATTATGTAAGAGCTCAGTTCAAATCAAAACACAAAAATCATGAGTGATGACACCACTTATGAGAAGAGAGAAGAGAGGTACTTCCCATACAGTTTGGAAATGTCATTTATGCTCTTTAGCATTTTGGCCATTTATTTTCTCTCTCTATCTCTTGCGTCAAACCTTTGATTATTCCAAACACAGTCACTTCTCTTGCAGAAGTCCCACAGCATTTGGGTGGAAAGGGTATTCCCATCTCATTGTGAGTCAGCCATGGAATTAAACAAACTTTTTGGCTGTATGTGGAACTTTTTTTCAAAAGTTTCAACGCAATCCACAAATCAACCACAGCTCATTTCCACGACAAACCTCATATCAGTTTAGCATAATTGTCTTGATCCAGATATTTTTGTTGTAAAAGATCTTCCCTTGCTAACAGGAAAACCAAGCCTGATATTTGGCTCAGCTGTAATATCAACATCCTGCAGTTTAAGAGCTGGATGTTTGAACACTGAGAGAATGGCATTAACAAGGCTGATGGTATTGTTTTGTTTCTCTGCACAAGCTTGCCTGCGTCTATTTTTCCAGAAATTACTGAGGAATTCCTCCTTGTGTGCAGCGGAGATGTAGTGGATTTGGGGAGGCAGTCAGTGACTTAGAGGCAGTGATTGTTTGCACAGCCTGGTCGAGCAGTTCACCTCTGACGTGCACAATTGGGCGAATAAAGAGCGGAGCGGCATATCATAGCATGCTATGCTATTTCAACCAGATCCCATGTTAGTTTATTTTGTGAGTGGGGAAATGATTAATCCTAGATGGATCTGGAGTATACACTGCAATCTGCAAGTATTAAGACAGTTCATAATTTACTGTTTGGGCTTTACTGCAGCATGATGGGGGAAATCTATGAGGGCTGGCACATCAGTGAGCCATACTGTTGCACTGACTGGCATGCTTCTTCATTACCATGAGCACACACACTGTAGTTTGTTTTGGCTCAATCCCACACACACAGTTTGCTGCCATCCTGCTGTGACTAAAGACGAAAGAAAAGTACTTGTTTTAATGGACTATGAAAAAGTAAATACATGTTGATTGTTGAGATTTCTATTCTTGTTTGTGTTTTTGTCAGCAGCGCGGATGTGAACCCAGAGCATCACGTCAGAATCTTGGAGGCTCTGATCGCAACAGGAGGTCTCATGGAGATGCAGGCTGCACCAGGTAGGATAATAAACATGCACACAAATGTCCTCCCTTCTCCACACACACCGTATGCATTCACTTTTTCATTCTGTGTAGCACTATATTGTGGTGATATTATGCAATATGATTTTGGCTTGACACTGTAAAATCTCACAACCTTATCTGCTCCGTCTCTCAGCATACACATGCATCTTCATTTTTTTCTGCTCAGTGATAAAGAGCATGGAGTTTGTTTCTCAAGTGTATCACCATACATCTCTTACACTGGAAACATGACATCCCCTTTCCCTTCCCCGCTGCACCACAAACTGCAGCGGAAAACACACGTTGGGTTTATGAAATATGTGGAAAACGCAAACTTTTTGCCCAAGTTGCTGTGATAAATTGGGCATGAAGCATAAAATAACAGCTTTTACTTTGCTCTCCGTTAGTTCAGTTTACAGCCGGGATGTACAGAGTTTATGGTAACAAAATACGGCGGTTTCATGATGTTTTTTCTTCTTGCATTCCTGCTTTGCTGGACTGTTATAGCAGAGAGTGAGGGTTTGAATGTTAGCGTGGCAGCTTTGGTTTAGTGTATATGGACTGCACAGTTTGCGTGTTTTCTCAAACCTCAGCAATATTTCCCCGAAAGCATAGAATAACAACATCCTTTCTTGGACTTAAGAGTTTTTGGTCAGAGAAGAAACATTGCCATCTGATCTGATCAAAGTTATATGGAAAGCCTGTATTTATCCAAAAAGTTCAACCAAAACGTAGCCTGATGTGACCCTTGTTATGCTTGTCACTCTGGCCCCACAGAAAAATGGTAAACAAGATATCTTCAGCCTTTTTGGTTTATGCATCCCCCTTCAAACAAAAGCCAAAATCGTAATGATCACTGCAGCTGTGTCTGTAGATCAGGGCAAAACATTTTTGTGCAAGGCTAAATAAAAGATTTGGACAGGGAAGCTTTAACCTACTTGGAAGTCTTTGGTATACATCTGCAGAAATAAAATACTGTGGAGAGATCAATCAGGCTCTATGAGGACGAAAGAAAGGTCAGACAGCAGGTGTGTGGGTTATTGTGAGGGCAAAGCCAGTCTGCTGAGGTCATTTTCTTTGGGTCAGTGTGTGTTTGTGTGTGCATAAATGTCAGTAGGTCAATGTGTGGGTGTGTGTGTGTGTGTGTGTGTGTGTGTGTGTGTGTGTGTGTATGTGTGTGTGTGTCTGTGTGTGTGTGCGTGCATGTTAGGTTGTACTGGTCTGTTGAGGGCCATGGTGTTAAGGCCAGGGTTGACATATTGGTTGTAGCAGTTATGGGTTATGTTTCCTTTATATGGAGCAACGGTTTGTTCAGAGGTGATGTTGGAATGGTTGCTGGACTAGTAAACAAATGAGAGTAAGATTTATGGTTAAAACATGACCAGGCAAGGACATAAAAAAAGATCAGTTTTGTCTAACACTCCATACTAAGGCAGGCTGAAACATTGCCTCAGACTTTTCTTTGACTGCATGTTGTCTTTTTTTTATTTATTTAAAATTTAGTTAACCAAGAAAGCCTCAATGAGATTGTCTTTGTTGTTATGCTGATGATACTTAATTTTACTCCCTCTAAAACATGTTGTCCCCATATATAAACCTACTGACTGTCGTTTGGCCTTCTTACTCCATCATTGCGATAATTAAAATCTGTAACTGTTATTTGCCCCAGGTCAAATTCAAATTCTAGCTTTGACAAGCTTTGGTCATTTCATCCAGTTTCCCTTATTTGTGGAAATTATAGTCAAATGTTGTCTCTAAAACATATTTCTAATAAAGCCAAAAAATCCTAACCTCAGTCACAAAATTGCAAGAGAACTTTGCCACTTGCAAGAGATCAGAAGAAGCTAAACCAGGCCCTACCTTGCAGGGAAAAATAAAGGCTTTATTTGACTGGACATTTTGAATCAGGGATTGTTTTGTAGCCAGTGACTGCTGACCCTTAGTTGTCCTTGACCTGCAGATACTTCTGCATTGGCTTCAGCTTTCAGGCACAGTGGTGAATACCGTTGCTTGCTGCAAAGCAATACAACAACCAAACGGACAACAAACACACATAATTTAATATGCAAATGTTAAACTGTAGCTTGTAGCCTGATGGGAAGCACACACAAGGACACTCAACATGGTCAAGTTGCCATAAAATGTGTAAAAGAAATTGTCTCCAAATACATTGTTTTGTTGTTGTTCTTTGGGTTACTGGTGTTGAACATCTATGAATGCACACATTTTGCACATTTTTGAAGTTTATATCAAGAAACTACTTTTAAAATGAGCAGGAGAGTAAAACTGTGTGATTGCTTTTGTGTCTCATGTTGGGGTGTGTGTGTGTGTGTGTGTGTGTGTGTGTGTGTGTGTGTGTGTGTGTGTTGGTAGACAAGCTTACATCACAGCAACAAAAGGACCAGAGGGAGCTGTTTTGTGCTGTCTTTGAAGTATGTCTTTTGTAATGTCTCTTACACAACCCTCTGTCTCTCTCTCTGTGGGGTGTCTGAATAAAGCCTCGAAACCCTCTTGGTGCTTTGTAATCAGAGGAATGATGTGGGGAAATTGTACTGATGTAACACACTCACACTGTTCACCACCTTCGTTTATTCTCTCAGGATCTCTGTCTGCGTCTTATTTGCATGTAGTCTTATCATGAGTCCTGAGCATGAGGGTTTTTGTCCAGACAGGAATTACTTGCTTACAAAGGCAGGTATGAATTCAGCCAAGACATGTAAGTTATGCGTTTTAGCTATCTGAGAAACTCTTACCAAGAGAGATGAACCGGAACAGTCTGTTAACTTTGGAATCAACAAACTGAAATTGTACCAGGCACAAAATCCTAGACTCCAAAACATGATCTTTTGCTAACTGTAACCAAGTGGTTTTTGTGCTTAAACCTAACCACACATTAAGTACAGTATTGTTGAAACATCAAGTTTTAACATATTCACTACACAATAACATGCAAATGTAACATATCTGTGGTTTGCAGAAATATTCAATGGCAACATTTTTTCTGGCGAATAGGTTAAAAATGTATAGCGCTCTGCTGCTCTGTCTCCTGAGATAGAATGCCCAGAGTATGCCCTGCTGCTCGTACTCCTTTTCCACCAAATTAGTTTTAGTACTTGAACTGGTTATGTTCACGATTTCTGAAACCTTGTAGCTATCTAATGAACCAACCCGTGTTGCCTATGGTTTTGAGCGGAACCCATTGTAATCAAGGACATGTCTTCAAAAGAGGGTGTTGCACAATGCACAATGGAAGTAAACAGTAGTAGCAAAATCACAGATTACATTGTTTACCTGTCAACTTTCGTTCAGTTAGTATAGATGTTTGTTTCATTGACCAACTATTAATTTTGATATTAATAATATTAATTTCTCACTTGACTTTCCCACTGTTGCCTTCTCCATGCTCTCTTTCCACCCTGTAGAAGATGACATGCCCCCTGATGTTATCACAGTTTGGACTCCATGTCTAGGAAAACCTGCTATGTTTTGGCTCTAGCTAAGAACTAACATTTCAGGCTCTGAACAATTTATTTTTGGTTGAAATGCTCTGATCAGTAAAAATGAGATGTGGGAACCAGATGGAAAACAGTTCCATGTTGGTGATAAAGGGGTATCAGAGAGTGTGGTGCTCTGAATAACCGAACGGTGTTGTCCTACAGCACTCCGTAGTTACAAACGGTCCAGTTTATGCCAGAATGGGCTGCAGTGATCAGAGTGACTATTTATGAGAGCACCCAAATGCAAGCTTGAAAGAGCTCTTGTTTTTGGTAGGATTGGAAAAAGTGAAAGTACTTTCACTTCTGTGCATCCTGCCTGATCAATACAACGTACAGTTCTCAAAAAAGATGAGAGGGAAGCGAGATGGCTCACTCATTAGCTACTTCCATTATCAGCTCCGGAAAAAGACTCTTTCTCCATATCCAACAATACCATACATAAATCAAATGTAAAAAATATATACATTTCATACTATGTGTCACATACATGTATGCCTGTAGATGTGCTGTAAATATGTCATTATATACACTCCCGATCCCAGGAGGGAGCCCTTCTGTGCAGAGTTTGCATGTTCTCCCCGTGTCAGCATGGGTTTTCTCCGAGTACTCGGGCCACAGTCCAAAGACATGCAGATTGGAGACTAGGTTAATTGGTGACTCTAAATTGTCCCTAGGTGTGAATGTGAGTGTGCATGGTTGTATCTCTCTATGCGCTAGCCCTGCGATAGTCTGGCAACCTGTCCAGGGTGTACCCTGCCCCTCGCCCAGTATCAGCTGGGATAGGCTCCTGCGACCCTCAAGAGTATAAGCAGTTACGAAATTGGATGGATGGATATCATATACCTCATCAGACTGTATCCAGGAGTCTTTAAAACTTGCTTAAAGTCTTAATAACAATCTGGAATACACTAGTATTTTGACAAAAATAGTATTGTTATTACATTGTTCCAGAAATGGATTTGTCTATTTCTGTAAAATCACAATTATATTTTTTAACTTATGGTCTTGATACCCTAGCATGTGGCCTTTGTGACCTCAAAAACAAATTCCCCACTGCAAGCCAAGTGGCCTTGTCCCTAAAATTACAAAATTCCAGGCCTGGCTAGGATGCATCGTAAGCCCACAATACACATTGGCTTGTAGTTGTAGCCTTTGCAGTCAACTTGATTGACCTTTGGTATAGATTCACCTACACTGCACTCTGAATTGTGCCATGGTTGGTCTTGAAATACAATAATTCTGGAGTCTTATTTCATTTTCAGCACCTTGGCAATGCTGGTCAGCACAAACATTGAGATGTCCAGTCAGTTTATGGCTCAAGATGTGTGTGTGTGTGTGTGTGTGTGTGTGTGTGTGTGTGTGTGTGTGTGTTCAGGTCACGCTGGTGTTTCAGTGGCAGGGTGGCTGCATGTCTGACTGAGCTGAGCTTTGTTTGATGGATGGATTTAGACTTAAGAGAGAGGAAGACAGAGAGAGGCAGGCTAAAACAGGGAGGTC